GAAAAAATAAAATAGCAATATTATGGACAAATAATTGACTTTTTATATTTCTAAATATCACAACACGTTTGAATCAAAGTCATTGTTTAATAACAATGAATAGTCACCTTCTTTTCTTCTGACAACGGTTCCTGCTTCTGCTTCCTGCTTCTATCCTGACCGGGGTAAAATTAGCTTGAAGTTTGAAAATGATTTTGGGACGCCTGTAGCGTTTTCACAAAACCTCTTAGAGTTACAAAAAAATTGTTTTGTGTATAAAATACATTCTGAATGCTTTCTCAGCCTTTACTTTTTCATTTTTATGACATTTTTTTGACAGCACGAATATTCTTTTGTCCATATCTTCGCAATGGAAGCACAGAACGCCTTCAAACCAAATGCATTTTAAAGACCACGACTTGTGGAAATTTCAATAGCCTCTACATCAAACTATCAGTGGTCTAATTATCTTTTTTTAAACCTCCGTTTTTCATAGATGCGTAATTACGCATTAACTGGAACCCGGGGGACCGCTGTGTACACACGTTCACAACGCGAGAAATACTGTTCAATACAGCTTAGTGCGAAAAACCCGTATATGACCATAGGAAGCAGAACAGCGCAGTCTCCAATTACCCAGACTGTAAGCACGGGAATAAAGCTTTGATTGATTTCTGAAACCCTTCCTTTAAGTCCTGTTTTCATTCAGGTAAGGGTCAACTCTATTCACAATACTACTGACAGCAGGAAGATTCAAATATTCTTTACGCAGCAGCTTATTAATAACAGCTCCCATGATGTTTAAACCAACTTTTAACACAGAACACTGACACAGCTTTGTGTTCTGAATCTCTTTTTCTCGTGCTTTTATTTAATGTGGCACAATGCACTGGGATAGGGGTATTCCGTTCACAAACCAATAGCATTTAAACCACAGCACCCACAATGCTGCAAGTAAGTGTTTTGCACACTAAGCAGGTCCTCTGACATTTCCCAGCTTTGTTTTGGGTTGTGGAGCCTTTCTTTATTTTTTTATGATTTTTTGAAGATAACACTGCAGGTAATACACTGGGATAGGTGGATCTTCTTCATGGCTCAATAGCATTTCAAGTACAATAGCCACACTGCTGAAACCAAGTGTTTTACACACCAGACAGCCCCCCTAACCTTATACAACATTTCTGTGGCTGTGGCCCCTTTCTTTATTTTTTTATGATTTTTTCAATATGGCACCATTAGACAGGCGGTACATGGGAAATAGGGGGGTGCTATTCATGAGTCAATAGCTCTTCAAACACAACAGCCACAGTGCTGCAACCAGGTGTTTTACACACCAGACAGCTCCCCTAACCTTATACATCCTTGCTTTGAGTTGTGGAACATTTCTTTATTTT